CCAAGTGCCCAACACCACAGCAAAAGCTCTCCCCCCCCCCTTTTGTCTATGAACACATGGGAAGCAAAGGGAAGGGAAAAAAAAACAAAAAAACCGAAATAACAGAACTAAAGCAATATATATATGTATTTACACGTATACACAATTACAGAACTATATACACATAAGGAAGAAACCCCTAACACCCCCCCGAAAAACAGATATATGCAACCAACAAAGAACTGTCAAACCAAAATCTTAATACTTTCCTTAAGAAAATAAAAGCCACTCCACCAAATCTCTCCTCTCGAATCAGAAAACCCACAGGCCTCACAGGCCTCACTCCCACATGAGTGAGACCAACTGCAGGGAGCCTGCTGTCTCCAACTTCACCAGAAGACACCTGGCCAACTAACTCCCTCCAACTTCTATTTATATTCCTACTTACGTAAAGAATAGCGTGGAATATTGGGATATAAGTACTCTCTTGGTTTTGACCTGGTGTGGTAGTTTGGCCTAGGCCTTCCTTGGTGACCAGTTTGTAACCAAGGAAGTGCCCAGATTTACCCGGTATTCCCTACAATTTTTACATAACCTGGGGTATAAGAAGAAAGGAGGAAAGGCCTTTGCCCCTTCTTTCCTTCTGGCAGTTTTGGAGGTGCAGGTTCCCTGCTGTTGAGTCTGTCGGGTTGGGGAGTGAGGCCTGGTAAGGCCTTGCCAACCTTGGGAGATGGCAGTTGCCAGCACGTCTTTCTGTTGTCCCAAGGAGAGTAGTGAGATATTCTTTTGCTAATTCTTTTAGTTGCTAGATCTTGGGCTACTGATCGTGTATCTTTTATTTTGGTTTCCTTCTTTTTTTCCCTTCCCCCTTCCCTTCCCCTTTTGAAATTGTACATATATTTCGATTGTATATAAGTGTAATATAAGTGTAAATATATTTATATATATTGCTTTAGCTGCCTCTCTCTCGTTTTGGTTCTCTTGGTTTTTTTTTCTCTCCTCCCTTGGGTTTTGTGGGGGGTGTTGGAATTCTTGTGGTGAAGGTTGGAGACTTGTCAGGGAGCCAGCTTCAAACCACAACACCTGGTTGCCAGGAAAAGGCCTAGACCAAACCCTTGCAGTGAGGAACACTGAACCACCACAAAAGACCGCGAAGTTCCGCGTTGCTCAGTTTTTTAATCGCTTCGCTGTCGTCCCCCCGCAGGAACCGGAGCCAGACGGTGAGTTCCGAGACCAGCGTGGATGAGAGCGGAGTGTTCGAAAGCCTCAAGGCCGAGGCCTCCTCCCCTCAGCAGCTCTTCTCGGGGCTGGCCGGGATCCCCTCGGGCACCATCACGGCCGCGCCCTTCCA